AATATTGACTTTCAAGAATTCTATACCATTTCTATGAAAAGTTTTTTTCCCCCATATAAAAGTACATAGAAAACTTTGAGCGTTTTGAGCGACCTCTAATTATTTTTTGATTTCAAAATAAAAAAACGGGTATACTTTTTTTCCATATAAAACAATCCCAGGGGGGGAAAGGCATTACAATTCCTACTTTACTGTTTTTGGACCACCCTAATGTATATACATAATTATGAACACATGTGTGTAAGTGCTAGAAAAATTTTAGTATTTTTATTAAAACAGTAATTTAGATTGGATTCAATAGCTGCCTATTATTTATTGATTTGTGCTCTTAAACTAAGTAAATTTCGCTGGAAAGTCGTAACCATTCACAAATTCCAATTAAATAATGATTTGTCTTGAGAAACAAAAGAATTTTATGATTTTAATTAAATTTCTCTAAACTGATTGGTTAGCTCAAAAATGCTTCATTTAGTTATTTGGGAAAGAGATTGCAAGAACTAAATGTGTTATTAAAAAAAAAAAAACATGCATACAGATGCATGTACATATATAGGTACAATTTGAAACTCTTATATATAGTTAAGTTCGAAAATGAAATTATATGTATGTATCGTAGTTGTCATCCTTATAACAAACATTTAAATACACCAATGGGTACTTAAGTTAGGCTTGAGGAAGCACTCAAAACAAGCCCGAGATATTTAAATATTGTTTAGAAGCACTTTTTTCCTATCTCATAAATTCAGAGGTCTTTATATTTCACCATTTCAGATTCAGATTTCCTATCTCAGAAAACTTTTCAAGAACGCCCTACTCAAAATTTGGTTTAAGAACGCCATATCTCAGCTTTTGATTCAAAAACGCTTTATCTCAGCACATTTTCAGCTGATATAGGGCGTTTTTGAATCGGGTTTGAGATAGGGCGTTTGTTTTCAAACTGGCTGCCGAGATAGAACGACCTTTCACTCAGGTATCGATATTCCGATTTTTTATTCGTGGACCTCAGGAATGTCCACAAGTTTTTGTGCAGGTAGAATGCTTGCCATTTAATCCTTTAATACAAACATAAGTATGTACATACTTATCTAGGCATTCTACATTAGTTTATCTCGAAAGCATTCTTTGTTCGCTTCTCTGGAATCTGTTTATCCACGCGTTCTCTTTCCGTTCGTAGGTAATGCTGCGGGTAAGGGCTCACGGCCAATGACCCATGGCCCATGTTAAAATAATGCCTTCTTGAAGCGAAAGGGTAAGCGATTGCCATCGCCCAATTCGATTCCATTTAAATTTCTGTAGTATTCGTAGTTTTGCTGGGTTAAATAAATATTCATCATTTTTTACATCAGCCGAAAATATTTTGGTAAAGGAAAAATTCGGTTTTTTCCACAACTAGGTCCGCTTGTGACAACACAATAATTGCTGTAAAAACAAAGTTACTGCTTTTAAGACTAAAAGCTCAAAAAGAGAAAATTATCCAAGGAACAAAACAATGCCGACAGCTAAGAAGTTTAGCTGAAGTTGATCCCAAAAAAACACAAATCGCTACAAATATTTTAATTGAAAATAGTTTCACCACAGCAAATTTGTTTATTCCAGAGCAAGAAAAATATAAAACGAGAGCTTAGACGACAAATTGGTTTAAGTGTGTCTCATGTTTCTCGTGTGGAAATTAAAATAAGTAACGGCTCATTTTACTTATAATACGAAAAAAAGTAAGCGTTTTAGGGCTTTGTTTCTTCTGTCTCGTACATGCGCTATTAGTTGCGTATTTCAGCATGTGTAAATTTTTTACTTTTATCCAATCAAATAGAAATCAGGCGTTTCGATTGGTTTCTTGTTGCTTTTCGGGCACTCGAGTCTAACTTCCGTTGAAATACAATTAAGAAAATTGTAAATAAAATGTTGCGTAGACAAATTGTAAGCCAGCATACTTGATTCCTTTTTCTAAAAAAAAAAACAACAAAACACACACACATACAAGCATGTATTTCACTGCACACTTAGTGTGTACAATTGACTTTTTCTTGCATGTCTGCGAGCTTCGCGGATCTCTCCATTACTTTTGAATACTCGCGAATTGCCTTTTACAACATTCCAATTTGCCATTCTGGTGAACGATTTGTTCGCGCCAAATACCGCGAATTCATCAACACCTGAAAAGCACACTTTGTCGGCGGGCCTTAACAAAGATGTACCAGCGAACTGCAAAACGATTAAATTAAAAGTGAATTTGTTTTTGTTTTTATTAAAAAATAATTTGACTTAATTCATTTATGGAAATTTTTTTCAAATAGGTTTTCGAATTTATCCTACCTTTAAAACCAAATTGTTTTCTAAAAAAAAAATTATAGTTTAAAAAACTAAAACCTCCCCATTATAATTGGCATTCGTACTGCCATCAGGCATGTAACTTGAGAATAGAAATCGCTGCATCTTTTAGGCGCATCAATATTACATAGTTACATCCCGAGCTAATAAACGGAAGGTAATAAAAACGTGGGTTTGAAGTGCATAGTTAGATACTATATTTTACAGGTCTGCCGAAAGCCCCAAAAAATGCAATGTGTGGAGTAATAAAAAATCTTTAGTATTAAAAAATGCTTAATTAAGCTATTTGGTATTATTATTGGAAGTGTTATTAAGAGAACCAGAGTTTTCTGATCGAAAGATTTTGAGTTTTAAGGACTATTTATATGAAAAGTGGTTTTTCCCAGTTTAAATTATATGGAAAATCTTCAGCGCTTTGAGCGACTTCTATATATTTTTTATTTCAAAACAAAAACATAGGGGTATATTATTTCAGGTATAGAACTATCCTAGGGGTGAGGCATAAAAATTCCGACTTTACTTTTTAACATGCATTTTTGGAACACCCTAATGTACATATGCTAGCGTGTTTTGTCTATTTGCAATTTAAATATTGGTAGAGCGAATATCACGCATGTATGTATGTACTTTTCCGACACAACTGCAACAGCAGTCTGCCTACTTACATAAATGTATACGTCAACTGCATAGAAATAAGAACTATCCAATGTGAACGTACCAAAAATCGTATAAAGGTTGCATACTTAGTATTGTATCTAAGAAAGTTGTGCATATCTGCATTTTTTCTGCTTCCCAAACAGCTGCTTATCTCCCGCATTTAACAAAAGTGCAATATATATATACATACTTATATTGATGTACATATGTGCTATACATGCGCACAAAATCAGCAAACAAATCCGGAATGCACTGCATTGGAGTCAACATGGCGTATACATTACCGTTTTCATTGCTTAATTTTGCGCGTCATACTCTATTAGGAGCAATTAGAAATTATATGCTGCTATAGCATATATATATAGGTGTGTATACTTGCACACACATGAGCTATTTGGTAGATGTATCAGAGTAGTGATTTCGCAAATATTATGCTATCATAGTGGCAACGCAGCGGTAATCACCCTCGAGACTATTCTACTATACGAGTACCTACCTATTGTGCAGTGTAGAAATTCTACTTTGGTCGTGTCGTTAAAGGGGTAATTGTTTTTGTTTCTATTTCATTTCACATTTTTGATGGTAACGCTAGTGCAGATTTTTTTTTTGGTGCATTAAATCTCACCTTAACTACGAATGTAGTACTATGAGTATATGGTTGTGGCGAAATGTTAGTTTTTCGCTCGGCTAATTAGTTTTGGTAACTGCAATTGAGCTTCTGGGGATTTATCTTCATTAAAGGGTGTGGTTTTAGATGCAAGAGAAACATAAGGTTAATTATGGGGGCGAAAATAATAGAGAGTATGATTTTTGAGCTTTTGAATTTTTTTCAACTTGAATATGGAGTTGCATTCATAATATATGAGTGAAAAGGATTATAAATATTTGTTGAAATTCACAAATTTTACTATCATTGCCAAGTTGAAATTATGCATACACAATTTTCTGAAATTATTGGTTTTGAGTAAAAATAGTAGATTCTACTAAACTGATGTTGATGTATAAATATCTTTTCTCCTCATATGGGTAAAATTTGTAACAAGTTCTCGTGCAACTCAAAAGAATATCTATAATTTTTCATAAAAGAACAACTAGAGTTACCCGGCCACGCCTTGCTGTGACTTAGTCCAAAAAAAGGGAAACATGAAAATCAGTGGAGAACTTATATACATACATACATTCTTTGCCATGTATATCTATCCACATGTCAGTAATTTTCAATCGCTCTCCGATGTACTAGTTCGAGCGTACCAATACGACTATTTTCATTTTCGGTCACTCGCTGATCATCAGTGTGGTTTGCTAGTGGGGTAGCTACTTTAGCATGTCTTTTCCCCGGCATTGCAATGAATATTATAAAATAAGACCGAATTGTTTTAACAGTCAATAAAATCAAAATAAATGATGGTAAAGGGTTCCTGAATTCTCTTTTGCCGAGCCTTTTGTTAATCTTAAATATTTTTCGAAAGAACGGAACAGGGCTTGGAAAATGTAATACATTTTACACATCTTTTAGAACATATGTAGGCCAACCAAAAATGTCATGTATAATAACAAATCTCAAGAGGTAATTCTGTGCTGAAAATTCTGTGGGAAATCCATTAAATTAAAAACGGTTGTAAATTTTTTACCGCTAGTTATTGCAAACAGAGGGTTACATTTCATTATACTAAGGGCCGATTTTACAGTAATGAGTTTACTCTGATTCGGCATTTAACTACAGGTTTTCAGTACAAAAACTGAGAGTTAACTGCCGAATTTGAGTTAACCTCCCACTGTGAAAACGGCACTAAGTTATTTTTTACCGCCTGAAATAGAAAGATAGATGACGATATTTATTTCAAAAGTTTCATACGTTCGCATACCTTATCAAAAGTGCACAATTTTTCTTATCAATTAAAGCGATAAGCCAAAGTCGGTGAACGAGAAATACTTGTGTAAAGAGTTGAGAAAACTTAAAGCGTCAGAGTTTTAAAATAACGAGAGAGAGAAAGGCTTCGAATTTGAAATTCATAATTTTTTTGTGCTTACTTATAGAGTGCTTTCTATTTCTTCTTAAATAAATACTTAGTAAGCTGTATTTTGAGGAAAAGTAAAAAATCATGAGCAAATATTTATATTTGGCTAATCCATCACGCGCCATCGATAAAGTGTTTGGTGAGTCATATAAATCTTTATTTAGGTACTAAATTATTGTATACACAAAATACATGTATGCACTAGGGTACTCCAGAATAGTTATTATGTTTGGAAATGCAAAATTCGAATATGACTTAAGTCAAAAATCTTCTTTTTTTTGCTAAAAAAACTCGACTTTATGCCATCGAGTTCAGTCACCTCAAGTTGACTAGAAACGAATTTCACTCGATGACTTTTCGACTTTTGTCTACTAAGTATCTGATGGTAACATTATCAACTAATTTTTACATTTTAACATCCTAGGGTGATATTCAGGAAATATTTAGCCGTACTTACCATGGAGCAATGATAAATTCACTTAGAAAGAAAAGTAATTGCTTTTATAAAGTTATTTCTTATGTCTTTCGATCAATAACTTCTTGGGCTTCTTAACAGCAATGCACTTAGGCAAGCAAAGAAAGCTAATGTTAGTATAACGGCAAAATAAAAAAAAACTTTACATTCTGGAAAATTCGGAGGGACAACAATATGAAAGAAAGCCACGCTTATGTTGATAAAATTTTTCAGGGAAAAATAGAATGAAACAATAAAAGTTGAGGTCGCCATTCACAAACAGTTAACCCTTTTTGCATTGTTTCTTTGCTTAAACTTTTTTTTCATGTTTTTGATTTTTCGTTTTTACCACCATAAAAAAATAGAAATTCATTTGGGAATGACCCAGGAATATTTGCAGGAACAGCGAAGAAATAATGAAAAATATTTCTTGTGATTTTTCTAGAGAACTGCAGTTAAAAAAAAGACTACTTGAAATTGGACCTCTTTTCTAAGCACTAAAACCTTATCAAAAAATATGAACTTATGGTCACCTCGAGCAAAATAAAAAATTAATTAATATTGATATTCCCACTCTTCGTATGCATCACGGCAATTAAGTTTTTTTCACATGCTCTAACAGTCAATTTCACGAACGCAATTTAAGTGAAAAAAAAAAATGATTTTAATTTTTTGAGTTTTTAATGGAAATTGACGGCAAATCAAAAAATACTTTCCATTTAAATTGCTGGGGAAACCGGCTATAAATGTAAATATTTATATGCATATGTATATATGTATGTGCATATGCTTACATTTAGATGTAGTGCATTTAAACGACGCCAGCAACCAAACGAAACTTATGTAAATTAGGGTGCGTCACAAAAAACGTAGCGGTTTTAATAGCGGAATCATAAAATCTATTATATTTTGAAATACTTCGGAAAACAGTTAAGATTTACGTAAGCTAGACCGATCGGAAAATACCTCCCAAAAGTTAATTATTTGGATTCCAATGATAAAATTGTTTAAAATTTTTATGCAAACCTTTCAAGCTTCAACACTTCTATCGTCTGAGGTGATATATTAGAAAAAAGTATTTTTAAAAACTTTTTTCGAATAGTTCCAACTCACGTAAATCTTTCCGAAATATTTTGCAAAAGTCTGAAAATATAATTCCGGTAGATAAGTAGTTTTTTTTTTTTTTTTTTTTTAGAATATGCAACCTAATGTACATAAATATGTATAAATAATATGCCCAAGCTTATCGGCGAGTTCATTGTATCAGAAGTATTGAAAGCGCACAAATGTGCCACTTATCTTATCAGCAAATTCGTTATCGAAAAATAATAACACAAGTGGGAACAGTTAAGAGCAGCGATGACATGAAAATCAAAACAAACGTTTATTATTATTTCAACAGCTTTCCAGAATCACTCAGTGGCGCCTCATTTATTCTAACATATTTACAAGTGGTTAATACATTTCTAGCTTGTAAAAATGTGACCAGCACACCCATGAAAGTGACATTGGAGCGCAAAGGATACAGTCGATATTGATTATCTTTCCATTTTTTTTTGCCGATAACAAAATTAGCAGCTGGTTTGTTGTGATAAACGCATCAAAGTTCCCTATTTGGCACATTTTTTCGCCAAAATACTTAGCTACTTAATAAGAGTTACCCTAGGCCTTGGGGTGCCGTGAATAAAACACAAAAGGATTTGCCCGTTTGATGATTTAATCATTCTCCAATCGCTTAACAAATGCCTTTCGTATACCTTAGGGATTTATTGCACAACAAATGAAGAAAAAAACTGAACTGTGTTAAAATATTTTTCATATTACATTTCTACAAACGACTTAAACTTAATCGACTTTGGCAAAGCTGTTGGCGAAAAGCCCTTTTCTTAATTATGCGCAATTGTGCTGTGATAAATCCTACAATATAAAATAATTCCACAGGGAATCTGAAAAAAGTTCATTCTGACCTCAGGCGAGCGCTGCAAATATTAAAAAAAAATAACAACAATGGTAAAATAAAACTTGCTATCTAAACTTTAGATTCTAAAGCAAAAAAGGTCCAAGGAATTTTAGCTTTGGGCTGCCAGATGCGATCTAAATAAGACCTAACCCTTTTGCTTAAAGCTGCTTAAGAAAAATTAATATACTTTCCTAAGCTCTATGCAAGCCAATAATTTTAATTAAAAGGTGTTCGTCTGTACCGTAAGAAGCTCATATTTGCGGTGCCGCAACCATCAATTTACTTCAGCGTAGCAGCTTTGATGCGGCATTTTTTCCGGCGAAACAAAGGCAAAGTATTTGGTGGCTTCGTACTTACACATATACGAATTTCCCTTTTCTTTGAGACGTTTAATGAAAGGCAAAAAAATGCCACAAGAAAAATAACTGAAAGGAAGAGAAGTTGCACTTCATTATTGGCTTTTAATGTTGTGGTTTTACAGACAGACTCAACAAAAAAAAAAAAGAAATATCATGGCAATTACGCGCTGAATAAGGCGAAATTAATTATATTTGTAACAAATTTATATGCACACATAGTACCACACAAATTGATTGAAAAATGTTTTAATCCGTCAACGCAGAAAAAAAAATCAATATAAATCAATTAACTTTACAAGTCATTTTTATGAATCAGGCGACGTAAACCAAAAACCGGAAAAATTACAAACTCAGATACAGCGAAACTTTTCTTTTGTATATTTTTTTATAATGGCCAGAGTCTTGCCTTGAGGCTGCTGTGTAGAGATAGAGATCTGAATTCAAAAGAAGTTTACTCATTCTTAGGTTCGCTTATAGGAAACATAAAAAAAATGATTTCGTTTAAGGGAACTAGATTTGTTTGTTGTTACCATTATAATAACCCCAGATCCAAAAACATCTAATAGCTATTTAACGATGCAAGTTTTGCATCTTTATTCGATCATTAGATATCTCTTATAAGACCTGCATGCAGGGTTCGACATTGTTCATAATAAGAATATTTATGTAGAGCTGATAAGAAAAGTATATATGTTCATAGAAAGCTTTATATTCCAGCCGCTAAAGAATGCTCATGAGGAACGAATGTGTTTTGAATGTGTTCTATCAAATTTAGCCTACATGAAATTCATAAAATTTGGGTAAGAAGTCTATAAATTTTTTAAACATAACCATTGTTTACCACTTAAAGAATTTTCCGGGAATGGCGCTATTTAGTTCCCGATAAGGAACCAGGCAGCAAAGAACAGGGCTTTGTTAGTTGCAGCAGTTACTTTGATTGGCCGCGGTCGACCCCCTTCCAGAAGGACTTTGAGGCTTTGCATGTTGGGGTGGTATAGCACTTGCTATACCGACTGTAAGTCCATTTTACAGAAATAGTCCACAGTTTTCGACAAGAATTCAAGGTAACAAGGCATTGCCATTTCATCAGTTGCGCAGTTTTATGCATTGTCACTGTGTACTCTGACCCTAATCAGCTAAATTTTTTAACTAATCCAAGGCAATAAAAGGAGATTTCTTTCACTCCTCGATTAGTTTTTATCGCTCTGTAATCGAACCAAACCCCTGATTTCCGCCTGGTTTTTGGAATTCTTTCCAGGGATAATACCTGTAAAAAAAAACTTTTAACTTTACACTGTCAACAGTCTTGTTTTTCTAGAGGTGCTTAAGTGGCCTGATTATGTAGTACGATGTGTGCTCAAAACCATGTGTTTTTGCTATGATTGTTTTTCAATTCAAAGGAGCTCATATGTTTATTAAAATGTCGGCCTGAGTTCATGGGGAAAAAGTATCTACTATAGCTTGTTATGCTATGCCTCGAAAATATTTAGATTTTATTTCTGTGGCAAAAATTTAAACCAATAATACCTCGACCATCTAGACCAAGTACCTTTCCGGCACAAAAATATAGGCTTATCTAGAAAAATTTACGCCAGTAAGAAAACATGTACCTTCGCAATGATATAAATTCTGGAAGTTTTATTTTCCTAATTTTGCAGCAATTAGAAAACTGAACAATTTTTTCGCCGATATAGAACTAGAAAATTACTAGGAAATATCATCATATGTATGTATTTAATAATTTTTCCAAATTCTTCTCTCAATAACATACCACATAACATGCCTCGGTTTAATTTTAAAGTCGCAAGCACCATTGCTCCTTTCCACCATTTAATTTTCTTCATTGGCTCTTTTTGCAAGTAAATAAAAGGTACAGCAAACTAAATAAATCTAGTCGTAAAAGACCTGTTTGACAACTTGCCTAAATCATATAACAGTACAATTGTTTCGCTATCACAGCAGAGCTGTAAGCCTTTGCTTATCTATTTGTTTGAGAAAAAGAAACAGCGAAAAATTTGATATCTTCTTTTTTCACGCTCTTTTCCCAAAACTTACTTGTCATTTTTTGCAAAACATTTAATTGGGCTGCATTTCCTGTCTTACCCAAATCTAGATATCTCTTCACCCTACTCAATCACACGCACTGTGTCTGCAGAAACTTCGGTCTCGATATCATTTTCAGCTCACTTTACTTGGGCTATATTTTCTCTTTTATTTTGCATTTATAAAACGGGTAAGTTCCATCCAGCCACAAGCCTTCGACGAAGCCTTTCACTTTAGCATTCACATCCTCTTTCCAATAACAACAATATTCTGTCCAGTACCTTTCCTACGTATAAACAATTGTATGCAGATCGCATGACAGC